GTTTAACGACATCATAGTTCACTGCAGCCTCAAACTCCTGGGTTCAAGCAATCCTCCTGTCTCAGCCTCCCAGAGTGCTAGGATTACAGGTGTGAGCCGCCACACCCCGCTCTAATGTTTTGACAAATGTATACACCCACACAACCACAGTTAAGAGAGAACACATTTCTATCAGCCCCAAAAGTTCATTCATGCCCCTTTGCAACAAATTTCTGCCTCCGCCCTCAGGCTCAGGCAACCATGGATATGTTTTCTGTCACAGATTAGTTTGGGTTTTCTTGTATTTCATATAAAAGGAATCATATACACATTATTTTTGTTTCTGGCTGCTTTCACTCAACATAATATTTTTGAGACTCACTGAGGGTACTGTGTGTATCCGTAGTACATTCTTTTTTATTACTGAGTAGTATTCCATTATAGAGATAGACCAAAATTTGTTTTCTATCCATCTATTGATGGAGATTTCAAAAGTTGTTTTCAGTTCTCAGTTATTATAAATAAAGCTGCTATCAAAGTTTGAATACAAATGTTTCCACACACATGTTTTAATTTATCTTGGGTAAATATTTAACACTTAGGAGAATTGCTGGTTATACATAAGTGTACATTTAACTTTATAAGAAACTATGAACTGTTACCCAAAATGGCTGTACCATTTTGCATTTCTACCAGCAACATATGAGAGTTCCAGTTGCTCTACCACTTGGTATTCCTGGTCTTTTTATTTTTTGTCATTCTAGTGGTTATGAATTGGTATCTCACTATGATTTAATTTGCATTTTCCTGATGACTAATGATGTTGAACATATTTCACGTGTTTACTGGCCAGTTTTTCTTTGGTGACATTTATTCAAATCTTTGCCCATTTTTTTACAGCTTTATTAAGGTATAATTGACACACAATAAGTTGAACATATTTAAAGTGTACAGTTTGATAAATTTTGATATATAGGTACACCTATGAAACCATCACCACAATCAAGATAATGAACATATTCATGACTTCCAAAGATTCCTCATATTCCTTTGTAATCCCTTCTCTCTCCCACCCATATTCCCTAAGCAACCATTCTCTGCCCTTCTCAGTATAGATTAGTTTTCATTTTTTAGAATTTTATATAAATGGATCATGCAGTATGTACTCTTTTTGGGGGGGAAGGAGTCTGGCTTATTTCAAATTATTTTGTTATTCATCCATGTTGTATGTATCAATAATTCATTCCTTATTATTACTAAGTAGTATTCTGCTATATGAATATTCCACAATTTGT